ACATTTATCCTTGTCGCCGCCTTTTTTCAAGTTGTCATTCTGGAATACGCTATACAAATGTGTGCTTGTGGCCAAAGCAAACAGAAATTTCCAAAATTAAATCTGAATTATTTAAAGGATATCAAATAGCTCCCTTTTATACAACGAGTCACACTAGTACTGAGCCTCAACGTCGAGCTTCACTTCATCTTTCATATTAGCCTAAAAACATCAAAACAAAGTAATATGCCTTAATAAGTTAGTGAACAAGTTAGTCAAGGTAGTGGAAGCAGGTTTGTTTTGTTTTGGTTTGTTTTACTTTCAAGTTTGCAGTCAATAATACACTACGCTTGTAAAACTAATCATTCTTCCAAACAATTCATATCTACTACAGAGACCGTATTCCCAGAAGGCTTTTGTTCCATTAATCTAAACGGTATTTCTAAATTTCTCTAAATATTTAATTCAGGAAATTCGGGAGTTTTATGGTTCCAAGAGCACTTTGCCAAGATCTTTGCGTGGTATAAATGCAGATCAATAAAACATTCATTGTAATCATTGTCATTCTTTATTCGAAGCTAAATGTATGTATTTTTTGTGTGTTATTTTTTCAGATATCGAAGGGACCCCCCCGACACCCCCCTAAATCCGCCACTGAGATGTATGCCTAATTTGTCGCAGTGGTATCTCGGAAGAAGAAGGCCCAGGGGCCGAAAGCTCGGATTGTATTTAACAACTATAATGCAGATCTTTCTAGGTGCATCAATATATATATACTTCTATTTTTATCAAGATCTATACGGTGAAGCAACATGAATCCTCAATAATCTCAACTAACACACTGTTTCGCTGTCTAGCTTTGCCCGTTTTATCTGTAGTTGAGTTTTGGTGACACAATATCAGTACATCTCAACTATACAACACAATAAATACCAGTCTCTTACAAGAATGGTCGGTCTATAGTCTAAATATCTTGCGAGAAGAAACTGATGATTATGAGATGGCCTCTAGGAATAAAATATAGACGTAACTGCAAAGAAAAAATGTCTCGAGATAGATTTTCCAATGGGAGAGGCAAGGTGGTTGATATAAAATACAAATTTAAAAAATTCAACTTTGCCAATACGTTGCAATGCCTGCCTTACCTCTGCATCTTCTTGATCGACAGAAAAGCTAGAGACCGACGACGAATTTAATGGATGATCCATTTATCTTGTGAAACATCATTTTATGTAACTTCTTCCTTTTTGAGTCAATATCAGTATTTGGTATATTTCAATAAGGAAGTAAAGCATCAGCAGGGCAATTAATTAAGTTTTTAATAAGCGAGATCTCCTCCAGTTAAAACACTATACCGGGATATATATATATATATATATATATATATATATATATATATATATATATATATATATATATATTCAAATGTACTTGTAATTGTAAATGTACGTAGAAACAGTAGGAGGCACGCGTGTCTGAGAGAAGGAGGGAGGGAGGGGTGCAAAAACGGCCGATCGAAAGGCGGGGGGGGGGGGG